CCCCAGGTTTGGCAATTTTAAACTAATTTTTGTTTTTTGGCTCTACACCTTTATGTCCATTTAAAAATACATTTTAGTGAGGATTTTACTGAAGCACGCTGATAAAGGCACAAAAACTGTAAACTTTCAGTTTCCCAGGACTCTCAAGCCGTGGAAGTCACTAAACTTTTCAAGCCATTTTCTCCCTAACTTTACCTCTGAAACCACGAGACCCTACCTCGTTCAATCACAAATATCTCCACTTCTGTTCAAGATAGATTCGTTTGGGTTTTTTCATCAATAGATAAACAAATAAACAAGCTTCACAATGATACCAATAACTCTAAATGCCCCAAAGTTAACGAGCGCCTGATTCCAAGACGTCGTAACACATATGTGAGGCAGCGTGGTGGAATCAGGCTCTCGTCAAAATAATCAAAGTGAAAAAACTTGCATTTTTCCGCATGTTTGTGAATTTTTATCAAATTTTTGTTTTTTTGGCTCAACACCTTTCATGCCTATTAAAGAATTCATTTCAGCGTGGATTTTTCTGAAAAGTATTGATTAAAGGCACAAAAATGTATATTTTCAGTTACCACGGACTCTTAAGCTAAGGAAAAAAACAAATCTTTGGCGGCCAATTTCTCACTAATTTTACCTCTGAAAACAGGTGACCCCCACCTCCTTCTTTCGAAAATATCTCGACTTGTATTTAAGATAAATGGATATTTTTTTCATCCAAATAAAGACAAGTGAATCAGCTTTAAGATGATACCAATAACTCTAAATGCCCCAAAGTTGACGAGCGCCTGATTCCACAACGTCGAAACACATATACTAAAATGAAGAAAAATGAACGAATTGAATAATATGAAAACGTGAATAAAACTGAAATAAATAGTACAGAAAAAACATATGCACAGCTGAAGTGAGACACGAAACTTAAATGATAACATGCATATCAAAGATATATTGTGGATTGATACACTTGCAGTATTCTCAATGATTGGTCGTGGACTGGCATGGAATGAGTTTTTAAAAAAAACAACAAGAAAAAAAAAAAGAAAAAAAAAAAGGCGAGCAAACTGAAATCGATAACAAGGGCATATATTTTTTGTTAATGCTTGCTAAAACCCTGACAAATAATTTAGTTATAGTAAGTGTCTCACGGCATTTGCAAAACAATAAAGTTAGATAAGTGCCGAAGATTAGAGGTGTTACCACAGAGAAACAAACACAAAAAAGAAGGAGGGGAGATAAGGATGATAGGTGTTTGATAGGAAAGAAGGAGCAAACCACACCAGAGCACCCACCAACCACATACTGACAATTACTTTGATTTGACCCACAAACGCAAAACCTGCTTACAAATTATGTTTAACATCACAGCTGAGGGTGAAGATGCAGCATACCACTGCCAGACCAACAACAATAATAATAATAATAATTGCATTTATATAGCGCATATCCATGCTCAAGAGCTTGCTCTATGCACTTTACAACTATTATTACCCCAGCAGACCCTCTGAGAACACTCAGAAACATTCTCAGCTTCCGCGGAAGCATACAGTGCAAGCTGAGGATTTCACGCGCTCAAACACTATCAAACTGACAAGATCTTTCACTGTCTATAGCTGGGTGCCCATTTCCACCTGGGTGAAGTGAGGAAAATTTGTGCAAAGTGCCTTTCCCAAGGACACAACGTCGGGTCCCTGACGGGATTCAAACCCATGACCTTACGGTTGCGAGTCCGAGAGCCTAACTACTAGGCCACCGACACCACAATCTCAGCCTCCACTTCCACATCAACACTTGTGCAGACAAGTTCACACCAAAAGCAACCAACAATGTAGCTCCAGTTAACTTATGTGTGTGTGTGTGTGTGTGTGAGTGAGTGTGTACGTGTGTGTGTACGTGTATATGTGTGTGCCTGTGTGTGTGCGCGTGTGTGCGCGCGCGCGTGTGTGTGTGCCTGTGTGCGTGCCTGTGTGTGTGTGTGTGTATGTGTGTGTGCCTGTGTGCGTGCCTGTGTGTGTGTACGTGTGTTGGTGTGTGTGTACGTGTGTATTTGAGTGTGTGTGTGAGTGTGTGTGTGTACGTGTGTGTGTGTACATGTGTGTGCCTGTGTGTCAGCGTGTGTGTGTGTGCCTGTGTGTCCGCGTGTGTGTGTGTGTACATGTGTGTGCCTGTGTGTGTGCGCGCGCGTGTGTATAAAATGTGTGCCTGTGTGCATGCCTGTGTGTGTGTACATGTTTGTGTGTTTGTGTGTGTGTGTGTGTGTCTATGATCACACAAGCTTGTACACTTATAGCTTGCTGTTATCGATCCAGGTACGCCTATAGAAAAATGATAAAACATGAGCGCTACAGAAAACCGTACCTCAACCAAGCTAGATACAGACCAACCTGCTCCAAAATCTGCCTGTCCAAAACAATCATCTGTACAATTCCCCCGCTCAACCCAACCCACCAACCCCTTTTTCCTTAGATTACATTTTAACGAAATTGTCAAAGACATCTTCCTGCCCCTACTGTCCGTCATCTGTCCGCAATAATCTTCTGTACAAATGATCACATACTATTTTCTCCCCATTTATTATTTTTTATATTATAATGACACTATCCAGGATGTCCTATCTAGGACAACCACTTTTCTTTTTGACAATTGGTGACTGTCTTGGACAATTTCAACTGTATATGACTAATCAACCATTACTACTTAAATAACAGTGATAATAAATAGCATTTGTATAGCACATATCCCCACCCAACAGCAAGCCCCACCCACTTCACAATCTATATTATTACCCCAGCAGACCCAAAAACACTCAGAAACATTCTCGGCTTTCCGGGAAGCATACAGCGCAAGCAGCTGATTAAGCGCTCAAACATAAACAAACTGACAAGATCTTTTGCTGTCAGTAGCCGGCAATCAGGTACCCATTCCCACATGGCCGAAGTGAGGAAAACTCCAGTAAAGTGCCTTTCCCAAGGACACAACATTGGGCCCCTGACAGGGTTCGAATCCACAACCTTTTCGTTGTGGGCCCAAAAGTGTAACCACTAGACCACCAACGTCACACTTGAAACCAGCAAGCATCCAAGCAGCATCATAATTTGATTCGACCATCGCATAATTTTCCTAAACTTCCAAAGCAATGACACAAGCACTTTACTACGCTGAGTGACCATTACAATATCCTAAAGTGTCTTGTCTAAAACTTATTTGTGGTGATGTTGAAGTAAGTAGAAACTCAGAACACTAGAAATGTGCTTCAAACTAAACTTTTGAAACTTTGGTGATTCAGAACTGAAAATTGCAAAGACACTTTTCTAAGAATTCAGTTTAAAATTGATTCCAATCTACGGCAAATTAATATCATGACCAAGAATTGTCAACAACAACAAAAAGAACGGGGGGGACAGGAGAGTGAGGATTTTTATTTTAGGCAACAAATTGGTGAGGGATAAAAAAGGTAACACAAAATAGGTTCTGGGACAAACGAATAGAGCCACTGTAGGTTATATCATAGCCCCCATTTCTACCACACACACTTCATTGCTTTTTTTTTTTTAAATCGAGGAATTGGTTGTCTTTCGCTCTGCATTAGGCCAAGCTAACAAGGACTTAGTGACTTAGCGAGCAAACAACGACAATTGAAATAAATGCACATCCAGCGCGAGATCTGCCCGGCGAGGTTACAAGTCATTACACTCCTCAACCGTTTCAGCCAATCCAACGATGACCCAAGCTAGGAAAACTCAGAATCTTAACTCATTAAAGATGTGCATTCTGGTCACTGGACAACGCTTGAAGATGCGCAGTTATGGAGCGCTTTAAAAAAGAAGCACAACTTCGTTATTCATACCGATTTTTCAATTCTGTTTTAAAATGGAATAAATAAAAAAAAAAACAGGCATAAAATGAAATGAGTAAATTTGTGTTTTTAACTTGAGTATGGTGGTTGAAATTGTAACCCAACATTGCCTTTGGTCTGCTGCTGATTGGCGTATGTGTCCACTACATCCTCAAAGCGTAACCCCCCCCCCCCCCCCAATAGTTTGAGAAAAAGAGTAGGAATTGTCTAGACTCCATTTATATAATGGCCTCAGTTCATTTAGATGAATGTAATTTGTAAAGACTTAACTATTGTAAAACTGTCAAAACAGCTGTGGCAAGCCAACATATAAGAACAATAACGGCACGATGGCTGGGTCAAAGTCAACAAAAATGACAAACCTTTCACATGACAAACTGAAAGCCTGCAAGTCCGGCCAAAGTTGTAAACTACTAACGAAGACAATGATTACCACAAAGAACCTCTAGCACTAGTGGCCTTCATACAATCTTTTCTTTACGATGTGCATTTCAAAACGATCTATCCCGCAAATATAGTTGATACTGAGCGACTCATATGTTTGTATGGAAAGGATTTGCTTCACCACACAGACATGAGATTTTATTTTCAATATCTGTCTGTGATATATTGGAATAAAAAGCTTACTAAGCTTTCACTACAAGCACCAGCAAATCCACAAGACACAAGAACTTTTAACCCGCCATTGTTTTCCAGCATCTCCACTGAACTAAAGGCATGAACTAATAAAAATATCACAAAGGCCCTTATCTTGATACCATTGCTTATTTATTAACATAGAGAGTCATTCCTGGTTTTGAGTGGAAAAAATCAATACGTCAAAAGTCTTCAGAGTGAAACTCAGAGTCTAACAAGAAACCCTTTGACAATTTACTGATGCACAGATCTTCAGTTCTTTCATCAAAAGACCATCATCAATAATTCGGTTAGGTTGTTTTTAAAAAAAAAATACAGCTTGATTTGTTCAAACAAATAAAACATGAGAATTGTTATGAAATACAAAAAGGTCAACAGTTAAAGCAAGAAAAGATTCACAAAGTGAGAAAGGAAAGAACATCTTTCTGCACAGATTAAAAACAAAGAGTCTTTCTCAAGTCCACTATGTACTGAAAGCAATAGCAACACAGGAGCAACATTAAAAGATTTCACTGAGCCCATTTATATCGGACTAAAACAAACAACGTTATGTTTATATATATATATATGTGCGTCTGAGAATACAAATATCTATATATATATCAGGTGTAAATGTATTAGGCAATTTATGATACCAAGTACACATCCAAATAAGAAGATGTCACAGTGCAGGAGTATGACCTGATTCTCTTTTCATAAAAACGGATACAAAAAGTAGAGATTCTAACCAATGCCAGTTTATTATCTTGTTGTTGTTAAGTTTTTGGGTAGCTTTGTGTATATAGAGTACAAATTTTCTTCAATCGGGTATGGTTTATGAAAAAAATTGTAAAAAGGGTTTCGTGAGTAATGGTGAGACTTTTTTAACAAACATATTTCTGAATACTTCGGGTTTATTAAGAAAAGACTAGCACACACACACACACTACAAAAACAAAAAAGCAAAAATATGCCTCACATTTGTCTTTTCCGGCTGGAGGAGAGTCAAAATGAACAAAAAACAAAATCAGATGAAAAACTAAAAACCTTGATCTGTCTGTTTCAACCATATTGATATCACTGAGGACAGAAAAATCTATTTAACCAACTCAGTGCTAGAAATTACCTCCTATGAGAGAGGACAAGAATCTTAACACCTTCATGCCTTCATCAACAGAACATAACCATATCAAAGACATAGAGAAGAAATGATGATAAGCGTAGAATGAAAAACTTCCCATGTAGCATTAAGCTTACACTCCTTGCCTTGCCAACTAAACTGGCCTTAATTGTCATTAAGACAGAAAAACAAAAAAGAACTTTCATCTCATGAACTTTCGACCTCCCATAATGTACGAAACAAGAGCTCTTAAAAGCGATTACTTTAGACTACGTCACCTGTACCAGCTGGTCAGTGTCACTTGAGAACTCACCGAGCACAACTTCTAGAACTTAATCTGGGATACATTCCAAAATGATCTTACACTATCAGAACCAAAGAGAGGACACTTAATTGCCATACAATTTTTATCTAAAAAGAAAAAAAAAAAAGGAAAAAGTTTGGACCAATCAGAAATCTGAAAATAATTGTGGACAAGTTGAACCTCTCCTTATTCGTCACAGAGACAACAAAACTTACGGTTGCTTTCTGAGAGACGGCCTGGCCCAGTCCCCCGCTGTAGGTATCTCCCTGCTGAGTGGCGTAGTTTGTTCCACTGCGGAGGAGACCAAACATATATACATCAGGCACGGGTAAACTACGACCTGCAGGCCAAATCCGATCTGCGAGCAGTTTCAGTATGGCCCTTGAGGAGTGCCAGTAATATATATCATTGATGAATGTGGTTCTCAGTGAGTTGATAATTAACAAAAATGTAACAGTCCATCTTGAAAAATGAAATCAATAGCTTCCAGCCCAGCTGGGAACAATAAATCTAATATTTTGTCTCATGAACTGCCCTCGAGAGACATATGTTACAGTATCAGTTTTAGTCTCCTGTTATATTGTGTGAACACCTCCATTAAGCTACTTTTGGCATTTTAGCCATCACCGACATAGTCACTTCTGGCTCTCAGCCCACAAAAAGTGAGCATCATCTTGTGCTATCAATTGTTTGCGGTCAATGCAGCACAGGATATAGTTCTGCCTAACACTTATTCAGGTCAAATGATTTCTTTCCCTGTGTCAAATACGTCCCCATTTCCTACACAGTGACCCATACAGACGGAGATTTTGACACTGACCAAAATGGCTGTGATTTGTGATTTAATGTAGCTGAGTTACGCATGCCGCGAGCAACCCTTCTTATGACATACATCCAGGGAGGATTTTTGCCAATTTCAAATACTCTTTTAACCTCAAATGACCGTTTGCAGTTGTGAGCGCCCTAAAACCTCTTCTAAAACACAACAAAAAAACCTTGTCCATTAAAATATGAAATATCCCCTAAAACTCTCTACTCCTATACACTAGTTTTCTTCTTCTTCATCTCGATCGCATTGCACTTGAAGACCAGTATTTATCATAGACTGGGCCATCCTGCTTTGTTTCTCTGTTGGCCTGTACAGGTTCTCCCGTGTACAGACCTGCCACTCTATGAAACCTCAAAATCAGGATCTCAGGGAGAAAAAATCGGGATTTGGTGAAAAAAATCGGGATCAACAGCAAATCACCAAGGTGATTGTCAAAGCTGACTCAAATTTTTTCCAGGAGTGTCCATAAATTCCTTGGCCAATATGCCCTCTGTGTGTCTTTGTTTGTTTGCGTGTGTGTGTGTGTGTGTGTGCGCGCGTAATCATTATATTTTGTAAATCCTGAAGCATCGCGTCAAGCACTCCTAGTCCAAGTGTCTATACCCCCCCCCCTACCAATAAGTCCCGAAATATATGAACTTGAGTTGACCCCGTCAACGGACGGTCCCTGACACGCAGAACTCACACGGCGATGACAGGTCACGTGACGCGAATGCGCGATTTTAACAATTTTACTAACGGGTCCGACTAACTACGCGTTCACACGAAACACTCGGATGAGCAACGGTCGTTCTACTTCTAGAATAACGACGGCGGCCGACCGACCAAATGTACCAACAAATCTCTTATGCCTCATGTATTCAGACAAAAGCAACGACAACGGCCGTATGTTAGTCTTGTCAGCGCAGTTACATGTTAGTTGTGTAAGGGTTAGAAAGACTGTCACTCGTCTGAGTGTTTGAAGTGAACGCGCAGTTACCAGACCTCGGACAAGGCTTGTTTTGAAAGTAACAGCGGAACTACGAACATTATCGATTATTAAATGTCCCAAATTGTAACAGTTACCAGGCTATCATCGGAGAATTCTGAACGCGGGTAAAGATCACACACAACTTGGGGCGAGTCAACTACTAAATGCGGCATCGATATTTCGGGAAATAGTGCTCCGAGTTCCTACTGACAAAAAGTGCAACGGGTACTTCCTGCGATAAAGGAGAAGGCAGAGTTAGTTTTTAGAAAAATCCGACACAACAGCAGACTGGGACAAAAAATCGGGATACACGTGATCGAAATCGGGATGCTTGAGATTTAGGGAAAAGAATCGAGATGTCCCAGGATGAGTGACAGGTCTGCGTGTACAACCTAGTGATACCGTACATCATTACATCTCTGACCACTGGTACTTACACAAGGGCTTGTTTGCTTTGATCGAACGACTGCCTGGACTGAGCAAACATGTCAAAGTCATCGTCATTTCTGGATGGCTGGGGCGGGGCAGCGTTGGAAGGGGTTGTGTTGTTCAGTGCTGTGACGACAAATGAGAAAACAAAAACAGAAATTGAGTAATACTACACCAGCTCAGTCATTGGTCCAGACAGCTCAGTCATTGGTCCAGACAGCTCAGTCATTGGTCCAGACAGCTCAGTCATTGGTCCAGACGAAAATAAACATATCACCACATAGGTGGTCATATAGTCTTAAAAAAGATAAAAATATTTAACTAAGCAAGGAAATAAGGATTAAGGTTATTTGTGGCTTGTGCTATTGTCAAAGAGACCAATTCTGCTATATTTTTAGTTTTCAGTTGGTTATTTTGCCACATTTTTTAAAAGTCCCCCCCCCCCCCTTCCTTTCAATCACAGTCAATTGTCTCTGTAAGACATGACTACAACCCCACAGTGACCCTGATTCGTTGTGGGCACTCAGACTGGCAGTTCAAAATGGGAGGCTATGCTTTACTTTTTCTATGAACCATCTACCAAGTATGACGAGAATAAGTCCATTCACGATCTTACCGAGGCCCGCGAGTTGCGTTGTTGGAGGGGCAGGAGCTGGATCTTCACTCAGGTCTATCAAGTTCCCAACTTTAGGGTTGCTTGCAGCTGACAACTGAAACATCAAAACAAAAACTTTAGTTCTGACTGTTTGTTTAAGTAAAGAGAAGCAATAATTTTTATTTTTTTTATAGTAGAGGGTTTTACGGCGCTCGCAACAGCATAAGGTCATACGAGCGCCAGAAGCAATAATAATAATAAAGTCCACAGAAAAAAGTAAAACAAATAGAAATAAATAAGGGAAAGAAAAGAATTAGACCCTACCACTGGAGTCCAAATCAAGAACAACACAATAACAAAATTCTCTCATGAACAGAAATGTCAGGCAGCATGGTGGAATCAGGCTCTCGTCAATTTTTGGGCATGTAGAGTTATTTGTATCATCTTAAAGTTTGTTCACTGGTCTTCATTTGGATGAAAAAAATCTCAACTTATCTTGAATACAAGTCGAGATATTTGTGAATGAAGGAGGTGGGGGTCACCTGTTTGCAGAGGTAAAATAAGTGAGAAAATGGCTGCCAAAGATCAGTTATTTCCTTAACTTAAGAGTCCGTGGTAACTGAAAATTTACATTTTTTGTGTCTTTATTCAACGTTTTAAAGAAAAATTCACACAGAAATGAGTTCTTTAATGGGCAGGAAAAGTTTTGAGCCAAAAAATAAAAATTTGATAAAAATTCACAAACCAGCGGAAAAATGCAAGTTTCTTCACTTTGATTATTTTGACGAGAGCCTGATTCCACCACGCTGCCTCACATATGGTAAAATTTCCAGGAAAACAAAAGCGACAAAGAGTTTTTGTCCTGACGGATACACAGAAAGAGGTCTTAACCACAAATCTTTAGCCAGGTCACCTCTTTCTATTTTCAGTCCAAGAGTTTACAAGACAACTAAATAGATTTTATGCCATGGGCTTCTTGTAACTCAACGCTCAGAGAAAGTGTGAATAAAATAGCAGAGCGTCACTACTGCATCCTAAAACATTGAACATCTTTTGATTCAATTGACCAGTGAGTATTGTGCTATAAATTGCAATTCCAATTTGTTGGCCAAAAAGAGATCGATTGACGTGATTCAAATTCAGTAAAATCCTCAACAGACTAGAGATTCAAATTCAGTAAAATCCTCAACAGTCTAGAAATTCAACTGACAAACAGAGCAAAGACTTTAAAGGTCAGTCGGACAGAATCAGCAAACGCTGGAGCAAGTGACAAGAACCTATATCTTTGACCAGGTGTTCAGATGCATTTGGCAAAAAAATTTGAAGTTTGTTTTAATTGCGGTTTCTCAATCCAAGGTGCTGCATGTGCCAGAGAAATATTTCCTTGAAAATAAAATTCTAAATGCTGGAAAAAAGCAAGAAAAGAGAGATAAAGTATGAATATTTGTTTTTTTACTAAGAGTTTTACAGTACTTGCAACACGATACGGTCAAATAAGTGCTGAAGATTAGAGGTGTTACAAGGGAGCAACAAACACAAATAAGAAGGAGGTGAGATAAAGACGATAGATGTTTGATAGGAAGGAAGGAGCAAACCACACCAAAGCACCCGCCAACCACCCACCGATGTACTCGCCCAAAAAATTTGTTAACGAGCAGTTTCTTAATCTGTGGTATCGGTTGCATGTGCTAGAGAAATATTTTGATTAGTTTAGGTCTAGTAGAGGTTTTACGGCACTCGCAACAGTATAAGGTCATATGAGCGCCAGAAGATTAGAGGTGTTACAAGAGAGTAACAAACATAAAAAAGAAGAAGGGGAGATAAGGACGATAGATGTTTGATAGGAAAGAAGAAGCAGACCACACCAGAGCACCCACCAACCACCCGCAAAATATTTTGAAAACAACAAGATACACAATGTATGTTTAACAGTTAAAAGAATTAAACAATTTTCCTCTCTCCTGAAAAAACGTGTTTTCTCGGCTTACAAAAAAAAGAAAAGCATGCCGACAATATATAGAAATCAAAACGATTTTTCCACCAGTCCATCTCATCCTCACCTGGTCATAGGAAGGAGGTAACGAATCTTGCGTCCCGTTGTCTACCTCAGGTGCGCTTCCCTGACCGGACTGACCCGTCCGGTAGCGCTCAAAGCGTTCATAGCGAAGGAACACATTGTTCAGGTCATCATTTATACGTAGGAGATCATCTGTTGAAGGATCAAACAAATGGAACCACTGTTTTCATTTTTCATTTTAGTAAAAGTATTACGGCACCTGCAACACAATAAGGTCATATAGGTGCCGAAGATTAGAGGTGCTACAAGCGATTAACAAACACAAAAAAAAGAGGAGAGACCAGGACGCCGTAAAACCCTATACTAAATTAAGACGATAGATGTTTGATAAGTAAGAAGGAGCAAACCACACCACAGCACCCGTCAACCACCCACATGGAATCATTGTTTTATGGCAAAGACGTTAAATTCAAAGTTTATTAAGTTTATTCTCAACACTTTATGTTGCAAGTCAACTTTGTTATACAGTGGAGTCCGCTCACACTAAAATCTTCATGAACAACAAATTTTCTTTGGTTGAGCGAGTTTTCATTCAGATACGTTGCTCAAACAAAAGAAAAAAAAAAGGAGTTTTCTTTCCGTTTACAACAGCAGTATGGTAGAGAGTAGAGTCCGTTTAAACCAAATATTTTTATTTTTAAAAACTTTTTTTTACTCTACTAAATAAAAAAATAAAAAATAAAATAAAAATATTTGGTTTAAACAGACTCTACTCTCTACCATACTTGTACAAGAGATGAAAATGAGAAAACCCTGTAAGACAAACATTGAATTAGTTCTTGTAAGAGTTTTACGGCACTTGCAACACAATGAGGTCATATAAGTGCCCAAGATTAGAGGAGTTACAAGAGAGTAACAAACACAAAAAAGAAGGAGGGGAGATAAGGACGATAGATTTTTTATATTATAACAGAAGGAGCAAACCACACCAGAGCACCCGCCAACCACCCACAAACATTGAATACATAGCACACAACTAGTATGAATTTCCCAAAAGTTGGCGTAGAAAAACTAAAAAGTGACCGTACTTGTTACTTCCTCTGTGGCAATTTCATTCAACAGTTCCACAATCCGAGACTGCATTTGCCGGCAGGTTCTGTTCAGCTCCTGAAGTACAGCAAGAGACAAGAAAGGCAAATGTAAAAACTGAGCTCACTTTTTACATACACAAACAAACACAGGCAACAACATACCACTTACAAATCATCACACACTTATAGTTATTTCTCAAATGAGCATCCAAACTGACCAATAAAAGACAACTTGTACCAATTTTCTTCAAAAGGCTTATATTAACTAAAATTTACTAAAAACAAAAGTCCCAATACATAAAAAGGCTTTGGAAACTTGTTAAGTTAAAAAAAATTAACCGGATACAAATTAAACTGGAACCAAATGAAAGAGCAAAAACCAAATTAAGAAAAGGAATAATGAATTTTATATTCAAAAAACTGTCCCATTCTACTCTCTCTCTTCTCTCTTGCCCTTTTTAACTCCCAGTGGAGCACAGGCCATCAACAGCATTACTCCAGCGAAGCCTGTCCTGAGCATCCTTTTCTTTCTGTTTCCATGTATGTCTACTCTATGACCTATAATAACAGTTTGTCTGTCATGAACCAATGGTCATTCAAGGAGGAAGAGAAGTTGTACAACTATCGTGAGAAGAAAAATGATATTTACAACAACAAATGTCTTATTCAACGAAAAATGACGGTATCATCATCATCAGTTGCTAGATCTGCAACAAACAGTGGTGATCATGGTTCTCTATTCATTCCTTTGCTCGAATGGTCTCAAAACAGCTTCATTCCTTGACCTTTCTCTGTCAACCATCAGTTTAGGCTCTCCAAGTAAGCTGTTTTGAGTTGTTAACCCTGCCTCGTTTGCCATTTTGCCTTCAATTTTGTCAGTCAGAGCTACATGTTCAAGGCCTTTATACCTTTTTAATCCCCTATACAACATCAATGACCTCTACGACAACCAGTGACCCTGGCCACAACCCACCTGCAGCAGCTCCAGGTCCGAGGGGTCCACGTTGTTGGGGCTGAGCTCGGTGAGCATCTCGCTCATCACCCGGATGTTTCCCTGCACCACATCCAGCTCTCTCCGCAGCTTCGACGTCTGGTCGGACGACAGCGGCCCGCTCCCGCCTCCCTCAGACTCCGGGGGACGATAGCCGGCCTGTGGGTAGACGGCCGGGGGGTAGCCTCCGGGAGGGAAGGCGGCTGGGGCGAAGCCTGCTGGTTGCTGATACACACAGAAGAGGTGGTGGACTATTATCTTTATTCCATCAGTCTCAACATTGTTTTTTTCTTTTTTTTTCGTAGATGGACTTTTTTTTTTAGGAGACGGTTTTACAGCGTTCGCAACTGCATAAGGCCATATGAGCGCCAGAAGATTAGAGGTGTTACAAGAGAGTAACAAACATAAAAAATAAGAAGGGGAGATAAGGACGATAGATGTTTGATAGGAAAGGAGGCCAAATCACACCAGATCACCCGCCAACCACCCACTGAAATTGTCTGAGACAGCCACCCATTGTCGAGGAGACAAGAAGTCCTCTCAGACAGGTGGATGTCTTGTACAGTGTTATTACATTTTTTTTTTAAAACCGCAAAGGGGGTTGGGGGGGGGGGAGGGGGAAGTAGTCCTTCGTGCAGGTTATCTTGGACCGGTAGCAGTTACAGCTGGTATCACTGCGTTTGGTTAAAAAATATTTCACAGCAGGTCTGACAGACAACGATCCCACCTTGCCATGAACAGATAAAGGGCAACGGAAAAACTGAGAAAAAGAAGATAACAGCCTTTAACCAGACCGCCCATATATTTAGTCAGTTAGTTAGTTAGTAGTATAGGGCTTTACCGCGCTCGCAATTGCGCAAGGTCATATGAGCGCGCGAAACACAAGTTGGTCTTGTTCACAACAGTTCGCTGTACGGCTGGCTCGGGTCAATAGTTAAATCTTAAAATGTTTAAAAATCAGTGTAAATATACATATATTTTCAATCTAAAACAATTTTTCCAGTTAACATAAAAAAATTTAAATAGTACAATTTTACTTTACAATTTGCCATAAAGGCCAATGGCCTTCATAAAATTCAAAATTTTGCTGGGACCAACGACGGAAAAAATGTCTTGCAATTTCTTGCATTTATAATATTTCCTTCGGATCTCTTCAAAGTCCAGACATTCGATTAAGATGTGTCTAATGGTAAAATCTGTGTCGCATCCGACACAGAACAGCTTCTCATCTCCTTGTAGGAGGTAGTTGTGGGTCAGGGCCGTGTGTCCGACCGCCCATATATGACCACTCACATTTCTAAGCTGAGGGTAATTTACAACAACAATCTAATTAAAGTAGTAAGAAATGAATGCAAGTCTTCTATTTAAAACAAATGTTGAGTAAACCTGGGTGGGAAAAGAATTCCATAAATAAGGAGCCGATGCTTCTAGGGGACAATGTTGTTTAATTCAATTTAGTAAGAAGAGTCTCAAAGCATTTGCAACACAAATTGGTCATATCAATACAGAAGATTAGAGGTGTAACTTGAGAGTAACATACAAAGAAATGAAGGAGGGCAGATAAGGATGACAGATGTTTGATAGGAAAGAAAGAGCAAACCCCATTAGAGCACCTGCCAATCACCCACAGAGAATGTTGGTTGAAAATCTGCAGAACTTAAAACGGTAGCTATGCAAGCAGAATAAACCTTGCCATGGCATTTATGCAAAGAAAAATGAAATCATAACAGAGGAGGTGTCATGCATAGCTGAATATTCCCCCAACGGGAGAAAATGTTCAACCAACCTTCATGAAATCATGTGTTAGGCGGCATAAAAAATCAAAGTGAAACAAGCAAGTTTTTCAATAAATTTCGGTAGAACGCTTTTTTAAAATGGCTACGCTGACAAAAAAAAAACTCTTCCGGAGGAAGGGGTGATTGTTTTCTTCGTTTAATTTGACTTTAGAATGAAAGGCGAGAGGTCATTAAAATAGAAAAAAACCCTAAAACTCCACACTGAACAAACACGAACTGCTGATGAACAGCAGTCGATCTGCGCACGCAAGGAGGTGCTATTCCTATTCTTCTTCTGGAAAAACGAAAGAGAGCTTCAAAACAGACTGCAGAGCCATCTGAAGAAAAGAGCGAACTTCCGGCGGACACTTTTTTGGCTGAGTGGCCCATCTTGTTATGTACTATCTTTGGCGGCATACAAGTTAAAAACCAAAGAGAAAGACAATTTTCTCACATAAGAGCAAGCGAAAATGATACTAAAGTTTTGCTCTAAACGCTAAAACGATGATGGATTTCTAGTTGAGATGCAGACTTTCAGGTAATATGATACTTAAATTTACTTTTCAAAAACAACATCAAGATAATGCACATTGTATGAATACATGTTAACCCTCTACTGCACAGCTTTTGTCCCACAAATGTGTTCACTGTCTATCAAAAGCAAAATGTTTTAGCCGTGCAACAAATCAGGATTTTACAGGTGCTAAACAGTCAACGGCAAGATAAGACAGATTGGAAATCGAATCTACTTAATGTATGAAATTAATTACAGTAGATTCATGGTCTTCGTAGAACGGCTGCATATAAAAGCATCAAAATATTCACTTCACACGATGACCACTCCCAACGACTTGCATGCATAAAAGAAAAGGATTATTAGCTCAACCTACTGAACGGTACCAAACCACTCACACCTCTCTCAGTTGAAAACAGAGAGAGCAATAAACAACAACATCAGCAACGACATCATCATATGGAAGCAAGTCGAGCTAGAGGACAGGGGATAACAGCACAGCATACGGCAGGAGAACTTCCAGACACACAGAATCACTCACACTGGAAGACAGCTCCATGAGAACGCAGAGAGTACAAAAGTTTCACGTTTACTGAGTAGCGAGAAGAAAATAGAACACCCACTGTGATATTTCTTTTTCAGTTGATACAAAGCAAAAGTAGACATTTCCAGCTGGTGCGAGAACAAAAAGCACACTGGCAGACATAAGAAACAGCTGTGTCTCTTCCATTAACCAGCCTTAAGAACATAGTTACACTTATTTACAAAGAGACAACATTCCCTGAAGACAAACAATTTCAGCCACATGACTTTCAGCTCAAGTCAGAGGACGTTAAGTACAGATACTGACACTTTCACAAGTCCAACTCACACATCAATGCACAACATTAGCACATTCAGGCAGAAAAAAACATAAAAAAGAAAACAATATCCAACACATATCAGGACAAACCTCATCATCTGACTCATTCACAAGCTCAGCATACTTTTTCTGAATGAAAATATATGAAAACGGTGTAAGGCAAAGGGTGCTTCAGTTCTTCAGTCTATAAATTCAGAGACACAAACTGCAAATAAAATCCCCAGGTCACATTCAACTGAACTTCATACGTAATGAATCAGGTACTTTTATAGATGATTAGTAAGCATTCTGACTTAGCTGGGCAGCACTGCACTTCTTTTTCAGGTGTCACTTTCATTAAAATCTTCTCCCAGTGAGAAACATGGCCAATATCGAGTCTACTCAACCATAACTGCAACTCAACTCAAATAATCCAGTTCTTAGGTAGATCTTAATAAACCCTTCTATGGGTTCACTCTCGTCAACTAAATCACTCTAGCTCTTTCAAACGAGATGTTTTACCATCCCATTTATCACATGAGTAATAGTCTTGACAAAAGACTTCGAGTAGCATGCTGCACCTGACGTCCATATTTCAAAACCAACCAGTGACGAAAACAAGTTACAGGCCGAACCAGACCCCCCAAAAACTGTTAAATAAAAAGCTTTTTATAAACATCCATCACAAAACCATACGAATCTTCTTCTGTCAGTCCAACAATTTTTCCTTCTATTTCAGCGTGCTGGGAAGAGACTTCATTCAACTCAACCACACAAACCCACACAGAAGAGGGACAAAACCTTCGGGCACAGATCACGACATCCACTCACCCCTCGACTGCTTCCACCTCTCTCCATTGGTGGCTGCTCGCGCTCGGGAACACTCTAAAAAATGTGACAGAAAAAACAACAAATTTGACATAAAATACGACTTTTATACATTTGTTTTAGAAAAGAGAAGAAAATGGGCACAGTAATGATAATAATAAATAATAATAATAATAAAAATAATAATAACTAATACAGCGTTCCATACCAGGCAAAAGCAAGACTGTCAAACAAACATAAAGAAAAGGCAGGAGAGAAGAGAAGTAAACCATATACCAGCGGCATTCTCCAGCAACCCAGAACTTGTACACTAAATGGCTCAAAAGTGTCAGTACATCTTGGTTTAGTTTTAGTACAGGTTTTACCACGCTCGCAACTGCAGAAGGTCATAGGAGCGCTAGAAGATTAGAGGTGTTACAAGAGAGTAACAAACATAAAAAAGAGCAAGCGGAGATAAGGACGATAGATGTTTGATAGGAAAGAAGAAGAAGCAAACCACACCAGAGCACCTGCCCACCACCCATTCAGTAAATCAGTAGTGTACATGTACAAATGTTTAGAATCTTCTCCCTCATTTTGTATTTGACTAGTGAGTGATTATCAAAAACTGACTTCAAACTAGGACAAATATACCCATAATGATATGCTGAGAAGATTTAAAGACAATAATCATCATGAACAACCGATTCATATAAAAGAATGGTGGTTTATATGTAGTCACCTCAGAATTGTGAGGCAGCGTGGTGGAATCAGGCTCTCGTCAATTTTGGCCATGTAGAGTTATTGATATCATCTTAAAGCTTGTTCACTTGTTTTTATTTGAATTTAAAAAATATCCATTTATCTTGAATACAAGTCGAAATATGTGCGAATGAAGGAGGTTGGGTTACCTGTTTTCAGAGCTAAAATTAGAGAGAAAATGGCCATCAAAGATTAGTTATTTCCTGAGCTTAAGAGTTCGGGGTAACAGAAAATTTACATTTTTTGTGCCTTTAATCACCTTTTTTCAGCAAAATCCACACTGAAATTAGTTCTTTAATGGGCATGAAAGGTATTGAGCCAAAAAACAAAAATTTGATAAAAATTCACAAACCTGCGGAAAAATGCAAGTTTCTTCACTTTGATTATTTTGACGAGAGCCTGATTCCACCATGCTGCCTCACATATGTAGTCACCTCAGAATTATTAAAAAAGTGTATTTCACTACAGAGTGCACTTTGGACAAAATAATTCTGAGACAATGACATTTCTAATCTAATAAGTCTTTAAAAAGTAGGCTTACCCTTGCTGGTGTGTGAATTGGTGCAAGATTATCCAAGTCAGTCATGGGAAACTCAATTCCTTTTTGTTTGAGTTCTTGATAGACTTTCTCTATCTCCTTCAGCTCAGGATTACCTCGGAATGCATCTGCCCATGTCTAGAAGACAAAAAAGGAGAATTTACCAAAAACACAAAAAATGGTAATAAACTATTTGAGACAGAGACAATTTTATTTACGCTTAATATAATAGAGAAGATGACATGTCTTAGTTATTATACCTTAGTGATTTGCTGTCGGAAAAAAGGTTACAATTGGTACAAATGATAACAATATAGAAAATTAAAGTACACGAACTTGAGATGACAAAATTTATCTTTCACTTGTATAATAAATCATATTGTCACAGGATACAATACTCTCCCCTTCCTCAAAACAATGTACATGGCCATCAATAAAAAATTTAAAAATGCATTAACGCATACATATACACAATAAAATTTGAGTCAATTTGTCACTTTACTTTATGAAATCTAAAAATGTCAAGCAGCGTGAAAAATGCAAAATACCAGAGCTATTAATTTCTACAAAGCTCTTGCAGTGGTCAAACCACATTTTATAAAGTTGAATCAGTTTGAAAGAGATGTGACAATTGTACAAAGAAAAGACACTCTGGACCATCAACACTGCCACACAAAAAAGTTATAATTCCAGCTAAAATCAGTCTTGGGTAGCCCTCTTCTTGAGTTTTTACACAATTTAGAAACTGATCAATTAGAAATTATATTACAGACAAGATTGCTCAAACATAAACGCTTGAACAAGTGGGTAGCCATCTTTAACATATTACATGGTTACAACTGCACAACATATTTAACATAAATACATATCTCTTATTGTGCTGCAAACGCTGTAAAACTCTTACTAAAACTAAACTAAATATATTTCTTAAACTCACTGTTATTAGATAATCTACTTTACCTAACTCAGACAATCTCAAAATGACCTTTTTCTCCTTTCATTAACAAACAGGGAAATCAATTTAAATTTAAAATACTAACACATTCAAAAGGAAAAAATCACAATCCACAAAAGCCACAAGAGCTGTGTGTATCTCAATTAACAACCCTCATATATGACTACTATAAATAATTATCTCTAAGAACACCCAAAACACACCTAGATCTATGCAACAGCTTGGCAAACAAAATCAAAGAACATGCATTCTTGTAACATAACTCAAAAAGCCAAGACTCATCCAGAAATTCTAGTTAAAATGTTTTTCTCAAAATAAGGCTCAATAGCCCATTTACACCAACGTTTTGTAATATCGAGATTCAAAAGAACTTTTCCATGGTCTTTTTAACTGAGTCGTAGAGAACAAAATATAATCCCCATACCTGTATCATGCTCAACACCTTTTCTTGAACAACTTGTGGTGGGTCGTTCTTTGGTCCAATAATTTTGATGAGGTCATGCAAGAAATCTTTATTGACCACTTGAATATGGAAACGACGGCCACAATTTTTCACACATGACTCAATACACTGAGGACAAAAAGTCATAATATGAAAAACTATGAGTGGACATAGGCACAACGAAAATTGGAACAGGAAAACAGTATAAATAACTGTAGGTACATGCACGTAATTGCTTACACTGACATTTACACAGATGCTGAGACATAAATTTAGTCTTGTTGGATCTAAAAATAAAATTTCCTGTTATCTTTGCAATTACGGTGCATCACGCGGGCCTACTTAAGTTACAAACTCAACGTTTGGGTCATTACAATTACTTCAACAGAAAAGTTGTCAACGATTATCCTGTCACAAAAAAGTTATTAATCTACATTCAGAAAAATCAATCATCTCGGTTTCATTGAGGTTGAAACAGTACATGCATTGATAGAATAGAATTGTACTCACAGTTAAACAATACATCACAGCTGTGTAGTTCTTTCCCACATTTTGAGAAATCTTTTTACGGAAAGCACGTATTGCATCTTTGGGCCTGTAAATTTCAAATATCATGTTGTCAGTTGTAAACAATGAAGACAATACATAACTATTCATATAATTTAACAATAAACAATACTAATTAAAACTGGACAGTTATACTAGGAGAGACAGGACATTCCATACACACATAATCAATAAATTTATCAATTTCTCTTATTTTTTCCATAAATCGATACTATCCAAACAGAGTGAAGACGCTAAAAATTCTTCCATTTAAAAAGCTGCTCTCTTTAAATGTGAGGCATGGTGGTGAAATCAGGCGCTCGTCAAAATAATGAAATCGAAGAAATCAATATTTGTCTGCCCTTAAGGCAATTTCTATTAACTTGTTTTTCATTAACACCTTATATGTCAATTTGAAAACACAACTTCTGCACAATTTTACTGAAAAACGTACAAAAAATGTAAATTTGCAGTCTCCAAAGACACTCAAGCTTTGAAAGTAACCAAACTTTAGCAGCCATTTTCTCGCTAATTTTACGTCTGACCCCAGACACCCATAACCCAAGCCCAAAAATTGATTAGTCCCTGATTCCACCATGTCCCGACATAAGTTTTGTCACTGGTAGTGAAAAAAGCCACATTATGTAACAATAAGTAGCACTGTGGTAGGAAGAAGTATATTAAGGCCAACTAGTCCTGAGAAGGGGTACTATACAAAAAAGCAAACAAAAAGTATGGAATTTCTTTTCAAACATTTCACCTGTGACAAATGATTTTCTTTTAAATCTAAGAACTAAAACTTAAATTTACAAGGCAACCTTTCTGTCATTCACAAAAGTCAGTTTCAATAAATTTACTTTTAACAAAAAAAGTAACAGATTTTTCTCATTCAGAAACTGTTGTGCTAAGGTTTTACAGATTTTTCTCATTCAATTCAGAAACTGTTGTGCTAAGGTTTTACAGATTTTTCTCATTCAATTCAGAAACTGTTGTGCTAAGGTTTTACAGATTTTTCTCATTCAATTCAGAAACTGTTGTGCTAAGGTTTTACAGATTTTTCTCATTCAATTCAGAAACTGTTGTGCTAAGGTTTTACAGATTTTTCTCATTCAATTCAGAAACTGTTGTGCTAAGAGCTTTTACAGATTTTTCTCATTCAATTCAGAAACTGTTGTGCTAAGGTTTTACAGATTTTTCTCATTCAATTCAGAAACTGTTGTGCTAAGGTTTTACAGATATTTCTCATTCAATTCAGAAACTGTTGTGCTAAGGTTTTACAGATTTTTCTCATTCAATTCAGAAACTGTTGTGCTAAGGTTTTACAGATTTTTCTCATTCAATTCAGAAACTGTTGTGCTAAGGTTTTACAGATTTTTCTCATTCACAAACTGTTGTGCCAAGAGTTAACAAGTTCACCACCATTACCCTTTTGGAACTAAAAGGTCTTATAAAATGTCACTCACAACTATAAACAAGGCAATACTTTGAGTTTAATCACAAGAGATGGAAACACGAGCTGTGGACAAAATAACTTTACTTGGGCTAGTGAAAACAAATCAAAATATATTCCTAGTCCAGGCCTCCATACATACCCTTCATCCGTTTCATTAATCAAATCACAGACTTCCATATACAAAGCCCAATTTTCTGTTGCTTGTGTGCCATCTGCAGCTTGCTCTGGAAAGTAGTTTAAAAGAAATTTATTGTAACTGGTGTACCAGGTCAGTGAACGGACAGGCAGGCCTAGTGAGTGAGTGAGAGTGAGACAAAACTGAAATGAAAAGATACCTGTGGCTATGCGTACGGCACTCCCGTACGCATAGCCTCATAGCTATGCGTACGGCCCTCCCTCCCGTACGCATAGAGAGCCTCATGGCTATGCGTACAGCCCTCATGCTTCCGTCCTTCCTTGCGTACGGCCCTTAGATTTTGATACAAGTATAATATATGTATGCTCACGGCCTTGATAATCGCTAAGCTGGGCCGGGTCACTTTATCAATCGATATCTTGACCAAGACAAAGATCGTGTATGACAGGATAGTTCACTCCTCTATAATTGAGCCAATTTAAAAAAATGTCCTCAATATTCGGTGTTCTCTTCGAAAAAGTGCGGACTTTGCGATCAGTTACCCTACTTGTGTGAAAATATATAATAAAAGTGAAATTAACGAACTGTGCTTTTTTTATTCTTCTTCTGGCGAAACGAAAGAGAGCTTCAAACCAAAGACTGCTTCGCCATCTGAACCAATGTGCAGACTTCCGCGGACACCTTTTTGGCTGAGTGAACTATTTTGCCATGTGATCTTTGGCCAAGAGAAGCTCTACGAGGTCAAGATAACTTGCAAAGCCATTGGTCACTATTTATAACTTTGACCTTTAATTTACTTTTCCCTATAAGGAATGCTAAATTTTCCATTGAAAAAAGGGCAGCGTCTGCTATGCCCTTTATAGCTGCGCGCTTCCCAATTGAAGTAGGTCATCCCTATATATAGGGCCAGCACGCTTCCCAGGTAACCCGGCTCACGCCCTTTATAAAGGGTCTGTGCGCTTCCAGGGTTTAAATTTGTCCACTTGTTGTGGTGTAGTGTCCTGTTTGATCGTTTGCATGTGCCGTCTACAAAGCCTAGTTTATTATGTGAAGTGGAGGGCCGTACACTTAGCCACGATGCTATGCATACGGGAGGGCCGTACGCATAGCCACTTCGTTAAAAGATTGTGATTATAATTTGATGACTGACTCTCAACATCAAACATGACAGAGGAGTACAAGAGCAGAGGGTCATTTTTGCACAAAACTGTCTCAGACAGACTGTGAAATGACATTTGACAATTAGAAGAGAGACAGGTTGACGATTTGTTTAATCTATATTTTTAAAAATCAATTCTTGTGTGCTGTGCCAGTAGTGAGTGCATGATTGTTTGTTTGTGTGTGTGTGTGGGGGGGGGG